AAAAAATGGAGTGAGAGATCGATAGGCGAATAGGTGTGGCATTTGCATTGACATGGGCGATGTACCGGTCTGTCGTGGTGAAGAGAGAGCTGAGTCAAAAGGCGAAGCTCTCAATTTACTGGTCGATCTACGTTCCTACCCTCATCTATGGTCATGAGCTTTGGGTTGTGACCGAAAGAACGAGATCACGGATACAAGCAGCCAAAATGAGTTTTCTCTGCAGGATGTCTGGGCTCTCCCTTAGAGATAGGGTGAGAAGCTTGGTCATCCAGGAGGGACTCAGAGTAGAGCTGCTGCTTCTCCACGTCGAGAGGAGCCAGTTGAGGTGGCTCGAGCATCTGGTTAGGATGCCTCCTGGACGCCTCCCTGGTGAGGTGTTCCGGACACGTCCCACCTGGAGGAGGCCCAGAGGGAGACCCAGGACACGCTGGAGGGACTATGTTTCTCTGCTGGCCTGGGAACGCCTCGGGATTCCCCTGGAGGAGCTGGCCCATGTGGCTGGGGAGAGGGAAGTCTGGGCCTCCCTACTTAAGCTGCTACCCCCGCGACCCGACACCGAATAAGCAGAAGAATTTTTTTTTAATTTCAGGAAAATAACACAAAGCAAAGCACAAATATGGAAACAATGCCTGAACTCTAATTGTTTTCATGTTTTTGTGTCCTCTTCACTGCTTTGAAGCTGTAAGAGAAAAAGTGAAGTGCTAAAGTCAGCGCAGACACCACTTTCACTTAAACAGCAAAACGTCTGTAGTTTTACTTTCTCTTTTTAAAAGCACCCTCTCAGCGCTCTTGTCACCTCTAAAAGCTGAGATCAAGTCAAGTCCAGATGTTGTGGGGAAGTAACTGCCTCAACCCAGGTCCTAAAAAAGACCTGCCCGATTTCACATGTGCAGAAATACACAAGACAAATTTAGCAACAAGCCAAAGGACAACACTTACATGTCTGAGCTCTTCAAGGCGTTTCACCAGGAAGCCACGCTCTAAAACAGAAGACTGAGTTTTTTGCATAAGATTGCAAAGATTACCGACATCCATGCTGAAGATGGACCAGGCAGCACAAAGCTAAAACTAGTATACCTTCGGCTGTGGGGTGGTGGAAGTGGAAGACAGGATGGGGACAGAGCAGAGACAGAAAGGACCCGAGCGCAGCAGGTGTTGTTGTGTTAGAGCAGCAGATTTGTCCCTCAGGACACCACAAGGAGACGGATTAATAAGGACATAAGGACACTTGAGGGAGGAGAGAACAGATTAATTAGGGCCAAGTGAGACAGAAGAGAAAAATAAAGGAGAAGAATAAAAATAAAAAGATGCTGGGTTATGACTCCAGTACAGATGAATGTTTGAACTCCACCGGAAAGTTGACGATACTCCCTGAAATTCCACACAGAAGCCCCGTCAGATACACCCGGCCCATTAATTCACTGCATCTACAGTGCAGACCAGATACACACGCACACACACGCACAGGGCATCTTGTTTAAATTTGAACTAAATCTGCGTGAACATGTTTGATCCCTGCTTTTAAAGGCCCCATCCACACAAAAATGGGTTTTATGAAAAAGTCAGTGTTTTAATGTTTCAGCCTTGTGTCCACACAGAAACTTTGCTTCAGGAACTCCTAAACAGGTTTTTTTTCTAAACTGGACGTCAGAATGAGAAAAGCTTGAAACCCATCCGTTGCTGTTTTAGTCTCACCTCTTGACTAACATATTCTGACAGATGTAACGACGACGAATGACATGCTTGGATTTGTGCTGCAAACACTAAATTCTCAGCTAATAAAATCTTAATTTACTGTGTCACCGCAATGAACAGAAATGGTAGAAAAAAATTTAAAACGATCTTTACTAGAGCAGTGCAGAAACTCCACCAAATATTTCTATATCAAACAGTCTACGGTCAAAGAGCTTCACACATCGCCTATAAAAAGTATTCATCCCTGCTCCCTTGCTGTCATAAATCAATCATGGTCTATACAAATTGGCATTTTTGACAAAAAAACTAAACTTCAATGTCAAAGTTAGATCAAACTTCTACAGAGGAGTTACTCCCTTCTGTAGGGGTCGCTACACCAAGCAAACATGCATAAAAACTCTGGGTGATTGTTTTACATGGATGCCCTTCATGACACAACCTGGACTCAAACCTGCAACCTTAACATTACAAGACCAAGCTACCGCAACCACCAAATCAAATATCTACTGAGTAATACCAATCAGAAAAAGAAATGTGTAAAATAGGTCACATCATAAATATTCACTTTTAAATTGACTGTCCTAAATTAGAGAAGAAGTTGAACATGAATTTGCTTTGAAAATGGTAAGCAAACCTTCTCTCTATGTCTAACAAGGTTAAGTCACTCTCAGGACATTATTACCTGCAGTGTACCTTCAGTGCAGACTGAACTAGGCAAAGGGACCTTCTCCTACTCCCCTCCTGTTTCCTGGAATATCTTGCAAACAGATCTGAAGCTCTCAGCCTTGACCTCTCTAAGGGATTTTAAACAACTGCTAAGTTCAAGGCAAACGCCAACGCAGACATGTCCCTGTTTTTAGTTTTTTATTTCGCTTTATATTGTAGATGTTTTTGTTTCGTTTTTTATATAATTTTCTTCCATTTATTTTTTTCAATTTATATGCTTTCTTTTATGATTGTCTACTGTTGTCATCACTCTTTGTTAAAAACAGGTCTCTCTTGTAAATGAGCCCTCGAGGCTCAATGGGACTAACCTGTATAAATAAAGGT